GTATACGGATATCAAACTACTCTGGGGTTCAAGACGAATACAGTACAAGAGAAAAAGTTCGATTACTCTAGGATTCTGAAATGATTTTACACACTAAATATATACAGCTGGTTATCCTATGATAACTAAATGCGTTTGGCTCAACATAGAATGAAGGCGTTTGTACGAACAAATACTAACATATATCAGCATTTCAAATGTTCATCTGAATAAATATCATATGTTGAATATTTCAAGAAGCCAAAACACAATGTATCTTTCTGAACAACAACTCGGTTGAAGGAATTGTTACGACACTCTGTAATAACGAAATTGGTAAGTTTCATTCATTGATTTTGGATTGGCGGCGAATAATCAAAGATACATTATACCGATGTTGTAAGTAGAAGGAGTATGTGGCTACCACTCAGTAGAAGATTGCTAAAAGTGTACACCCAATTAGTCCATTTATAGACACAAACAGCCGGCAGATTTTCTCTTGTCTGCTCGCTCAGTTTAAGCTACGACTTTGCTTTCTTGCTAGCCAACAAGCCTTTAACTTTACACAGGTATTTTCTCTCTTGAGAACTGAATTTTTATTTCCCACAGAGTCAGCTTGTGGTGCCAAGCACAACGCAGCAGAATAATAAAACTCTTCACGTCAAGAAAAGTCTGCTATTTCCTCTCATTATCTCGTGATAGACCAAACAATCGACTACTCTACATTGAGCGATTGTGAAAGTACTGACTAAAAGAAGCAGATATCGGGAATTTTTTATTCTTTTCATCAAAGGGTCGTATTGTCTTCATAAAAATATTTTTTGGGTCATTGGTTGTTGAAAGGTTCAAGTTAAGATCACTAGCCATAAAGATTTTGAATAGAATGGCTGATCATGTAGTAAAGCCCACATCTGATAGCATTTTGTTTGAAAAAGGAAAGTTACCATCATTCAAAGAGATGATTTTATTTAGTGACATAAGAAGGATACTTTTGTAGCGCTTTTTGGGTTTTCGCTGACAAGTAAAAGTTCCAGGAAGTAGAAACTGGTCGGCTTACAACTCTTAGATTAAGAAACAAGCTATGAGGATAATAGACCTTGCTTTATTGGTAGGATTCTTCCCAGCATATCAAGGTAAGGTACAAAGACTGCAAGTTGTATTCAACTTGAAACCTATAGCAAAGTGTGAATAAACTTTCCTGAAATTGGAAACCCCAAGAACTCAAAGTCTGCAACGCTCTGTGTCAAGCTACACAAAAACTAGTAAAAATACAACTTAATATAATTGGAGAACATCACTTTCTTTGGCTTTGGTCAAAAGTCTGTTGTGCTACTCTGTTGAAGTTGTCGTCTGCTTAGTTGAAAACTACATAAACCACTGAAAGCGCACCACTTGTATCCACTATACTCCACGTATGAAAGCCACTTTGGAGCTACTGCAAATACCAAATTCTACAAGAAGCATAGTGCGTGTACAAGAGGAAAATGCGCTCCTGTGATAGCCAACAAGACTAGAAACAAAGCACTCACAAAAAGATTTCCTACTAGGGAAGCAATATGAATGGTACATACTAGTCGCAAGGCATGAACAAGACTCTAATATCATTTCAGTGAAATTCTTCACTGATCCTTGCTCTCAACTAACACGGTCTGCTTCCCATTACATAAAACTAGGACCTACGGAAAATAATGTTTAAACATGAATATACTTCTTGTCTTCTTAAAAGAAGTCGAAGATACAACTGAGTCGACATTTGTGACTGGGAAAGACCTCCATTCATAGCTGACAAATGGCACAGGGAAGCAATAGGACGTTGGTCGCTGTTCAATGTTGCAACCTCATAAAAAAATTGAAGCGTTCAAGATGCTCTCCTAAGCAGTTGTTTCAAGCAGATTCTTAGAGTAGAGAATGACAAGCCCGGTAGTTCAGGTTGATACAGGATTATTCGTTGATTGTATCTAAAAGAATATTACCTTGCAATACTGTAGTATAATTTGACTCTGCGCCTTTCTTAGACTTGGACAAAAAGTTTGTGTGTTTCTTCTTCAAATGTATTGAGTTACATAGAGAATAAGGATAGTTGTTCAAGAATTGAATGAATAAAGTTTGTGCTCCGATTCACTCCTCAGCATCGTTGTATGTCACTGTAAAGCGTAAACCCCGCCACAGTTAGGACTGGAACTTCCTATGAAACTCCTTTTCTGGTCTTAAGTTGGTTGGAGACATGCTGACCCCTTCAGTTTTGAAAACTTCTCCGCTTTGTCTACAGTATACAAAGGTAACCTTGCAAAAAAGTCATTCTTTAAGAAATATTAGATTGAAGAATGGGTTAAACAGGTTGAAAATTTCATTTCACTTGCCCATCTTCCATACACAGGAACCGTCATATAAGGTAGTCGAAAATGATTACTGGCGGTGAGTCGAGACTCTTTCTAAGGAATTGTTAGCTTTCATGACAGTTTCAAGTCTCCAAGTAGGCTACTACAGAGGGTTATAACAAAATGTATGTTTTATAAGAGCTTCTCATTAAAATGCACGCTACGAGATAGGAGGACTAACTACAGTTTCCCTGTGTAAGTGTTACATCTATATTCTCATATATCTGGTCCATTGTAAACAAATTTTCTTCCTTGAAGCCTAACTGTTATAACAGTAATAACTAGTACTATAGTTGTGTAGCAACACGAAAAATTGTATCTTGTTGAAACTTTCAATAGCTTCAATGACCCACAATGCCCATGCAATAATGCCTATCATTAGCTACCTTTATTCTAACGAAACAAGAATGCCAGTCTCTTTCAGAATAAAAGTCAACGCTCGAGTAGTCGCCATTCTCATCGTTACCTCTCGTAGAGAAACCTTGATAAAACTGCGAAGGAGCCCTCATACATGACAAGCTATATCACCAACTGTTGAAGTGTTTACACTTTTTATGGTGTAAGTCTCTCTTCCGGCTGCTGCTGTGTAATACAATGAATACCACCCCCTCCTAATATGATCTCCCTAGCTGCTACTCTTCGTATTTGTCTCCGCGGAAAAACATGTTTGAAAACTTCATCTGCATTGGAGTCCCAGGGCTCCCCAAAGGATGGTACAATCACAGCACCGTTCACAAAATAGAAATTGACATATGAAGCGACTAAGCGCTCTCCCACTCTTCGAACAACTGCTTCATCAGAAAAGACAAGTCCTCGAATTTCATATTCCTCCCGATAAAAGGGACCAGGTGCTACTAACTTGAAGACAGAAAGCTTTCGTCCCTTGGCATCACAACTACTCTCAAGAACTTTAAGTGCTTCGAGTGATCTTTTGTACTGAGGATCTGTTTGGTCTTCCGTCCAGTGCAGCACAACTTTTCCACAGTCCGCAAAAACACATAAGTTATCGACGTGCCCGTTGGTATCGGAGTCACCAAAAACTCCATATGGAAGCCAAATTACTTTATCGATACCCAAATACTTATTCAACTCTTCTTCAATCATAGTTCGGGTCCACCCTGGATTTCTATTGGGATTCAACAAACACTCTTCTGTTGTTACTAACGTGCCTTCACCGTCACAAGATATAGCTCCACCTTCCAGAACCAAACCAGAACTGTATCTCTTAAGGCGTTCTAAATCCAATATCTTCCAGGCAACTACGGAATCCTGGTCCCACTTTGAATAGCATCCGTCCGTAACACCACCCCAAGCGTTAAACGCAAAGTCAACACCTTGTACTTTGCAAAGCGTGTCTCTTTGTCTTGCCATTATCATTAAAGGACCTGTATCTCTCAACCAACAGTCATCAGTAGACAATTCAATAACTCTCACTCGTTCATTACTCCTAAAACAGGCGCGAACCCGTTTCCACTGTTTCGCGGAAACGAGGACGTTCACGGGTTCAAACTCAGAAATGGACTGAATTACCTTTTAAAAAGTTATAAATAACTAGGGGAAGGCAAGAAGGTTTAACTCACTCTAACGAATGTGTTCTGAGCAGGTCCTGCTCCATCTCGCCAGTTATCTAATCTTTCCGGCCATCCTATCCAGGTCTGTTTATGGCGCTCCCACTCGGCAGGAAAACGAACAGCTTTTGGTACGTCTGTTTTCAATATCATATTTTAGTAAATTTTCAAAAAGGCAAATGAAAAGTGACTTACATAAGACCCCCAAGTCTACGTGTCTGTGAATGGAAAGTCATAGCGACCCCAATCAAACATCTACTGGAATTTGTTAAGCTGCACCGACGACTACAAATGCAGCAGATTTGGAAGGAATTCATACTTATTGAAATCCATGGAGTTGCTCTGTAAAATTTCATTCACATTGTTCATAGTGTGGTTTTGGATTATTGAATAAAGCATTTGTGTTGAGACGACCATTGATGGAAAAGACGACTGTTCAACAAGCAACTGGTTCCGTTGTAGTTGCAGCCATACAGTTTTCATGTTCGAATAATACGAAAGAGAACATTGCGAAAGCCAAGCGTTTCATCCGTATGTTGTTGATAGACATTTCTTAACGCAGTGTTTATGGCCGAATCTTGTTGTAGGAGAAGCTGCAAGTGCTGGTGCTAACATTATATTATTACAAGAACTTTTTTCAACGCTATACTTTTGTGAAGAACCTTGTGAAGTATGTACAAATGCGTTGTCAAGTTGTTGTGTTGAACTTTTACAGGAATATTTTTCGTTGGCAGTTTCTCTCAACCAAGTAGACGATTCTTTTCTTTCTGAGTTTCAGTCACTAGCTAAAGAGTTGGTAAGTTGAGTTGCGATCAGTCATATCACTCTCCGTATTCATTGTGAATACCTCAGAGAGTAGTACTTCCTGTTAGTTTTTTTGAACGCTGCAAGTGAGTTTGGTCTCATAGTTTTTATT